GGACCTTCCCGTCCTGCGTCTGCACTCTGACAGAGGTGGTGAGTTTGCCTCTGACTTTCTGCGAGACTTTTGTCGTGGGGAGGGCATTCGCCTGACGTTCACGCTTCCGGCCTCACCGCAGTAGAATGGGGTTGCTGAGCGCCGCATTGGCTTAGTCATGGAGGTCGCTCGTACCTCCATGGTCCATGCGGCTGCCCCCCATTTTCTGTGGCCGTTTGCGGTCCGATACGCTGCGCATCAGCTCAACCTCTGGCCCCGTGTCTCCTTGCCGGAGACCTCGCCCACCCTGCGGTGGACGGGGAAGGTTGGCGATGCGTCGGTGTTCCGGGTCGGTGACGGGACCGGCCGGGTGTGCAAGCTGCTGAAGAGCCTCTACGGGCTGAAGCAGTCGCCGCTGCTGTGGTACAGGGCTCTCGACGGCGTGCTGCTGGGCGCTGGCTGGAAGAAGAGCCAGGTCGACACGGCGCTCTACTTCAAGGTCGGCGACGACGGAGTGACCTGCTGGGTGCTGGTCTACGTTGACGACCTGCTCGCCGCCAGCAGCACCACCGCGATGCTGAAGGAGCTGAAGAAGCTGCTGGAGGCCGCCTTCGAGCTGCGTGAGATCTCGCCGGTCGTCAAGTACCTCGGGCTGGAGATCGTGCGCGATAGGCCAGAGAGGAATCAGTGGCTGCACTAGCAGGGCTATGCCGACAAGCTGCGTAGGCGCTTCATCGACGAGGAGCAGGGCGGTCGGATCCCGAAGACGCCGGTCTCGGTCGACGCCTACGCCGAGCTGACATTCGACGACGAGGAAACACAGGCGCGCGAGGAGAAGGAGTACCAGCAGAAGGTCGGCTCGCTGCAGTTCGCGGCGACGACGACGAGGCCGGACATCGCCTTCGCCTGCAGCAAGTTGGGGAGCGTTCTCACGGTGCGGAGCGACCAGCACTGGCGTGAGGTGGACCGCTGCCTCGCCTACCTCGCTGACACCCGCGACACCACCCTGGAGTTCAACGGTGGACCAGAGTCGCTGGAGCTGATCGGCTATGTGGACGCCGACGACGCCGGCGACAAGCAGAACAGGACGAGCACGGGCGGTTACGTGTTCGTCTACGGAGGGGCCGCGGTCTCCTGGTCGAGCTCGCGCATCAAGTGCGCGACATTGTTGTTGACCGAGTTGGAGTACGTGGCGCCCACGGATGCTGGCTGCGCTTCCGCCTTGCGGGATTCCAGCAGGTCGACGCTGGGAAGCCAACTGTCCTTCGGGTGGACAACAAGTCGGCAATCACGGTCGCCAAGGGCTTGGGGCTGCAGGGCAACCTCAAGCAGCGACGCTACGCTTGGCTGCAGCACATGGTGAGGCGCGGGAAGTCCGTGCTGAAGTACATCCCGACCACCGAGCAGCCGGCCGATTTCTTGACGAAGGCGCTGCATTTTCCTTCTTCTGCGAGGCTGGTCGACGGGGTGGTCGTCGACCTGCACAAGTCTGTCGCGAGGCTGGAGCCGTCGACCAGGGGAGCTCGACGGCTGCAGCTGACTGAGCTGGTCGACGGACGGGCCGTCAACCAGGAGGAGCAGCTGACACTGCTGGTCGACGGAGGGGTCCGTCGACCAGGGTGTTCCTCGACGAGAGATGTGGTCGACGAGGGAGACGACGACCAGAGCACTGGGTGGTCCACCAGGTCGACCAGGTAACCTGCTCGGCGAGTTCTGCGGAGGCACCCGAACGTCGTCGAGGTCGCGATGACGAAGGCGACCTCGGGCTGGTATCCCGAAGTCGATGTGGCTCGTCCGGCGCAGACCAGGGCCGACGGATGCACAACGGTGCAAGTCGGGCCAATCGTCTGCGCGCACCTCCGGACGTGCGCACTGCTGTCTTCTACGGGTGCAATGCTGGACAGCCGCTTTGCTGTAGCGTTGGCACGCCGTCGACCTCCTGTGTTGGCAGGCCGCGTTTCTGCAGTGCTGGCGCGGCTCCTCTACGCAACGCTGGCAGGCGGTCGACCATGCTGTGCTGGCGGTCGACCAGGCTAGCTGCAGATTTGCTAGGTGCCTGATGTAGTTATTCTTGTCATTGTCATTGCAATCATTATGTAATTCAATCTTTGCTAGTGGAAAATCTTGCCGATTTCTCCCGTGAATGTGCAAGTGCTAAGGAACTAAGCAAAGCTACGATCACTCCTAGAATTCGTGCCAACACCCCGTAGTCTAGCTCGCGACTATTGTATAGTGACTCTCCGCACGCACGGGCATGGATCATGGAGGTGCGGGCGATGTCCATGACCAAGCCAATGCGGTGCTCGGCAACCCCATTCTGTTGTACGTCCAAGACTGGGCGATGCCCTGCTCACCATCAGAAAGCACGTCGGAGCAAAACTCGCCCCCACGGTCGTAGTGGAGACACAAGACACAACTACCACGCGTGGCACTAGTGGCCAGCAACCACCGGATCAAGGTAGAAGTCAAGTCGGACTTCTTCCGCAGGGGGAACACGATGGTGTAGCGAAAGAAGTAGTCAACGACCACCAGGAAGAAGCTCTCTCTCCCATACCCAGGGCGAGGGGTGGGGCCCCAGACGTCCAAGTGAAGAGTCTGGAAGGGCGCGGTGGCCGAACGAAGGGAGGAGTGGTGCGCAGCCTACCTTTGACGAAAGGAGTGCACGGAGGTGCAGGCGAAGGAGGGAGCGACGCAAACACGCGGGGGAGACCTGAGACAAGATGTTGGATAGACATGCTACGTAGGCATGGGAGGGAAGGGTGATCAAGACGGTGGTGCCACAGGACTGTCGGGTGGGAGAGTGGCCGAGAGGAGACCGACGTAGCAAACTGACCAGACGCAGCTACCTGGGGCGGCACAGTGTGCAGAACGAAGAGACCCGAGTGGGGCTCCCTGGTGAACGTGGCAAGAAGTGCGCAGGTGGAAGCGTCCGTACAGATCGCAGTCCTCCCGTGCGCAGTAAAAATGATTGCGATCCCACGATCCTGAAGGTATCCAACACCCACCAAGTTCCGAGAGAAATAGGGGATTTAGAGACCAGTGAGGGAACAGCCGGGCACGGGAGGGTGGTAGAACTGCGAACGACTGCTGGTCCTGAAGTAGGATCAGCCAGGGCAACTGTGACTGGAGCAGGAAGAGGTGTGACAGTGGTGCGGTCGCGGAAGAAGCACTAAGACGCGCAAGAGTCCAGCGTGAAGGAGAGCAACGCATCAGCCGCACGTACACCTAGGCTAGTAACTACATACAAGCACCTACACTGGAAGCACAAGTCCCTACTCTAACAACTGGCAAAGGTCCTAAGCTAGGTACACGCAAATCAACAGATCCGACAGTACTAGAGTTATCAGCATACAAGATAGTATAAGCTTTAGGCATACACTTAGAATAAATATTGTAACCACGGCGAGACAGAGTAGGCCAATGCGGGAGAGTCGAGTCAGGCCCAAAACGCTCACGGTAGAGATCGTCGAGGCGATGGTAGCAGCGGAACGAGGAGTGGCCAGGGCGCAAGCAGGTAGAGCTAGCACCAGGGTCTGTCAGGAAGTGGTACTGGCAGGGGCCGACGTGACGATCACCGCGGCGTGCCCTCCAGCTGGCTGGACCGCTGCTGGGCCGACGCTCCTCGGACCATCAGCTCCCCACTGCCGAGGGTGCTGATGCTGCTGCTGCCACTGCTGCTGGCCCTGCTGCTGCAGAACTCTAGCGGACGCCATGGAACAAGCAAGATGGGCATGGGAGCAGCAGGAGCTAGAAACGGCCGAGCGCGGTGGGGAGCGACTGGGAGCGGTCAGGTGCGATTGGGAGCGGCTAAGAGTGGCTGGTTGCGGTCGGGCGCAGCTACGGACGTCCAAATGCGGCTAGGAGCGGTCAGGGCGGTCGGGTGCGGGAGGGTGCGGTCTAGTGCGGTGGAATGCGGTTGGAAGAGGTCTAGTCCGGTGGAGCGCAGTCGGGAGCGGTTAGGAGCGATTGAGTGTGGCTAGAAGGGGTAAGGCGTGGCTAGGAGCGGTCAGGTGCGGTGTGCCACGGTCTGGTGCGGTCTAGTGCGGTGGGGACTGGGTTGGTGGGTCAAGGAGAGCGGCCGGCAGTACGTAACGAAGGCATGGGCTGCGGTACGTAACGAAGGCACAGGCGGCTGCAGCTACACGTGTGGCTGCTGTCGCTCGTGCGACTGCTGGTGCGGGTGCGGCTGCTAATGCCTACCCAAATTTTAAACATAGTTTGACAGTTCTTCACTCAGCCCAACACAATTGAATGCATTACATTTCGTAGGTCAGGTGTAATTCGTGGAGTGAGAGTCGTGGAAGAGTGACCACATTTGGCATCGATATTCTCTTATTAGATAATGGGTACCATATGCATATCATGCCATGGGGAAACCATACATTCAGAAATTCCAATCCTCTTACAGCACATCCAGAAACCTATAGTTACCAGCACATCCAGAAACCTATCCTTACAGCACATTCAGAAACCTATCCTTACCAGCACGTTTAGAAGCACTCACCTAATTGGCTAAAAAGGTATATAGTCATGAGCTAATTGAGAAGACAGAATAGCATCAGAATTGACAGACTAATGACTAGCTCATATACAACCTTCGCCTCACCACCCCGCAAATAAAGCACCAACAGATCCTCATGTGTGCGACCAGCCGTAGTCCTTCACAAGGTAGTTCTTCCGGAACTCGTTGCTGCGCGCGATAGCGGCAGCGCTGGGCCTGCGCGTCCAGGGGGCCTTGTTGCCATGCAGGCTGTTACACCACGGGCGGCCCGTCTGCCCCGAAGCCTTGCACGTGCGCCGCAGATCGAAGCGACGGAAATTGACGTCCTTGGGCCCGTTGCTCCAGTTGGGCTTCAGCTGGCTCCACGAGGAAGCGTCCCAAATGGAACCCTGGAGTGTTTGGGATGGACGACACGAGCGGGTGAGAGCGGGTGAGGGAGAAAGGGTAGGGCGAGATTGAAAGGCTTGGAAAGCAGTGACAAGCACCGTATTCCGTTTAGACAATGCTAGAGAGTTCTTACCTCAAATTTGACGTTTTCGGACGGGAAGGGGCGGCCACTCTCTTTCCAGTGGATGCGGATGGGGGTGTCATCGACGGCCCACATGACGTAATCCGGCGAGTAGACGATGGTGTACGTGTGGAACGCAGCGGACGGGTCGAAGGGGAACTTGTACTGCTGCAGGTACACCTGCCCGCCCGTGATCAGATTCGTATGCAATATAATGTCTTTCGGGGTATTACCCCCAATAAATTCCAGGTCAATCTCGTCGTGAGGGTCGGTGTATTTTGGGTTGTTGCCCGAGATGAGGTAGAGGCAGGGGATCAAACCGCCGGAGTAGCCCGACGGGAGTTTCATGTTCACTCGGAAGACTCCGTAGCCGAAGTAGCCCTTCGAGGTGAACTCTGACGCATTGGGGGGAGGGCGGAAGGGGTCGCGAGATAGCACGTTCGAAGAGGATGCATGAGAAATGAGGAACGATGTCTATCCCTTAGGCCCCAATGCATTGCTGATGATTAGGGAGAAAGGGGAGGGAAGACAACTCGTTGAACGAGACGACTGAGATGGCTTGAGTGGGTCAATTGGGAGCATGGTGAGATGGGGAGGTGTGATCAGACTGGAAACTACGTTTAGATTTCCTTTGCTCAATTCTTGCGCTGTGAAATTAGCGAGGCACTTGAACTGGCTCCTTCTTCACTAGCTATTGCGAAGCGCTAGGAAATGCTAAGATGAAAGTTGCTGCCGAATAAATTGCACCACGAGGTACCCCATGGCCCGTCAATGCACTCACTTCAGTAATTATGTCCGTCGAGAACCTAGTGCCAACAGGTGCACTCACTACCCGTGCCAGCACTGACTGCCACTCACTGCCCATTTTATTCGAGTAAGCGGAAAGTTTCACCGAGCCGTCGGACTGGCGAGAGCAGCCGCCGTCCCACTTGCAGAAGTCGGGCATAGTCATGTGCTGGTCGAACGACCCGTCATACTTCGCCGCCGCCGCCGCCGCAACGCACGCGAGCAGCACGCCCAGCACCAACAGGCGGCTTGTCGCCATGGTTCTTAGAGGAAAGGACTCCGGGGAGAACGATGGCAGGAGGCACTTGCGAGTAAGTAATGGGGGAGCCAAGACAGGAAAAGGGGCTCCGAGGGTGAAGTGAGGCACGAAGAAATGGAAGAACTATTGGCACAATGAAAGAGGAAAAGAGAAGGGCTATTTAAGTGGCGTGGTAACACAAATGCCCTTAGGGGTGTGTCGCATCGCGTTGAACAAGGAGGGGGGAAGAGCGCGGAGAGAGAGAGAGACAAGAGGGGATTTGCGCCTCTAGTCAAGGTTGTGCCGCGGTCAAGGTTGTGCCTCTAGTCAAAGTTGGTTGGCCACACAGTACAGGCCAATCTTGTGTGTCGTTCACGACTTTGGCCGAGTCGCGGGATCCCAGACCAACCCACATTCTCGCCTGCTCCGCTTCTGAGGGTCAGCAGCGACGAATCGCAATTCCCGTGTCGCCAGGGAGAACGACAGGTGAGGTAACCATATGCAATGTTGGCCCCTGTGATTGTCAAATAAAAGGGTGCCAACTGGCGCATACTCTACCTTCGACACCGACAACTCCACAGCCCCATCAATTTTTTGACGGCAAGGACGGTTACGATTGATTCGCCACAGTTTCAAGTGCTGTGGGAGTTATGCGAGATAGCGAAAAAAACACACATGTTTATCCGAAGTATTCCTGTAAAAGGGAAGCCCAGACAGAGAGGGCTCGTTTGTATCACGGGAGGCACTTGCAATCAGCGGCTTTGTATGCGAGGTGGATAGGTTGGGAGCCGCCTCGTATCACCTCACCTATTGTACAGTTCACTATTACGTGAAGACACTGGGAACAGTGCGATTCCTTATATATTCATCTCTGTAAAAGGCTACTTTTGCAAGCAATATATGTTGATTATCTGGAACACAAGAAGCCAATATTCACAATTTTTTTTACCCCACAATAGGGGGTCTGTTTTACAAAAAAAAAAAAGCACACGTCATATTTATATAACCAAGGGACCGGTTGGTAGGATAAAGAGCGACATCTGTCAAAGTATATGCATGTTACATATGTGTAGGCTGTAGTGGGGTAGCCAATATGGGGTACAGCCCCTTTTAGGGTTTCATACTTGTACCCAACTCTTTCATAGTTCATTCATTCCTGGTGCTAGATTCTGACATGGTTTCAGAGCACTAGGTCCGTAGGACCGTTTTTTTTTTTTGGTTGCGAAGCAACCTATTACAATCGATTTGGCCAAATTTTTTTTTCACATTTTTATATTTTATTGTACAAAATGTGAAATAAAAAACTGGATGCCTTGTCAACTACATAACTTCCATAAGATATTCTTAGTTTAATAATAATGTGTTTTTTTTTATGTTCTTGTCAAATGTTTATATGTTATAGATGTTAGTTATCTAGGCTACAGTGAGTTGCCCTCTAAAGGGTACAACATTCTCTAGGTCGACTTGTATCCCATTGTTCCTACTGACTCACACAATTCTCTCGACACTTGTTCCTAGCCTAACTTGAGATGATATTAGAGTAGGCAATGTTTCTCCCTCCCACGCTTCCGCTCCCTCCCTTAGCCGGTCCCGAGGCGCCCGTCCCTTAGGCCCCGTTTCGTCGCGGGTAGGACGGCCCCCGCGGGCCTCGTTTTCGCGCCCTCCGCGCCCTCCAAAACGAAACCTCCGCGCCCTCCACGCCCTCTGAAGCGCGCCCTCCGCGCCCTCCATCTCGTGCCTCCGTCCTTAGCTCGTCGCGGGCCCCGTGCGCCCTGCCTTAGCTCGTCCCGGGCCCCGTGCGCCCTGCCCTTAGCTCGTCGCGGGCCCCGTGCGCCCTGCCCTTAGCTCGTCACGGAGCCTCCGCCCGCCTAGCACGCCTCCGCCCCTCTCGCACCCTCCATCCCGGGCCTGAGCCGTGCGCCCTCTCCTTCGCCCACGCCTGGCGCTTTAGACCGCGCCTAGCCCGCGCCCGAGCCCGTGGCTTAGCCCGCGCCTTACCCCACGCCACGCACCCTCCGTGCTTAGCCCCGCCCTCCGCGCCGTCCGCGCCCCCCCCCCCCCGTGCTTAGCTCCGCCCTTTGCGCCGTCCGCGCCCTCCGTGCTTAGCCCCGCCCTCCGTGCCTCCCACAGGTCGAGCTCGCGCCCACGCCTTAGCCCTCACCCTCACCTTAGCTTGGGCCCTACCGACGCCCACCGACACTTGGCACTCGTCCCTTTCCCCACCACCACCCTGTTCGCTGAGCCCCAACCATTCTTACTGCCAGTGGTCTCTAGTTCAGCGGCTGGCAGCCACTTCTCTCGCCGGTCACGTAGGTTCGACCCGTGTGGTCACTAGCTCCTCACCTCTAGCGCCCATACCTGGAGTTCCTCGCCGTTTCACGCCTAGCCCAGGTCACTCCGTGCTCCTCGCCACTAGCTCCGCCGGTCACTTGCCTCGCCACACCTGGCGCTCCTCCATTTCCCTCCTCGTTCCTAGCTCCGTCTCTTCCGTGCTCCAACCGCCTCTAGCCTAGCCTCCAGTATGGAGTCTCGCCGCCTTCGGTTCGATGCGGAGGGACGCCCGATCGAGTTCAGTACCTGGCAGTGCCAGGCCACGCGCTACCTGACCAGTCAGCGTAAGGACGGCGCCACCTTGTGGGCCCACGCGTCGGGTGCCCTCAAAGCGCCCCTGTCCCCCGCCCCCCTCCCGAACGACCTAGAGCCGACTCCTGCGGTGCAGGCGGACTACGAGCGTCGTGTCTTGGCGAGGGACGTGTGGGACTCTCGCGACGCTGCCGCCGCTCTTGCGCTGACGGAGCTCCTCCCCCCGACTGAGGCCACCCACTTTGACCAGGTGGAGACAGCTCAGGGGGTTTGGGCTGCTGTTGTTGCACGCTATTCCACCCCTTCCTCTGCCTCCCTCAGTCGCCTCCTCATGCCGTTCGTGTTTCCCGACCTCGGCTCGTTTGCGACTGTGTCCGACCTCGTGACTCACCTCCGCTCACTTGACGCCGGTTTCCGTGCGGCCTGTACCGACGCCCAGCTTCTTGCTGCTCCCCCACCCATGTGGCTCACTGTGCACTGGTTAGTCACCCGCCTCCCTGACCGCCTTGCCACTGCTCGCGACGCGCTTCTCCAGAAGCACCCCACTGAGCTCACTGTCGATCTCCTTGAGACTGCTCTCGGGACGATCGAGAGTAGCCTCCTCACCGTTGCCTCCGCCACTGACGCGGTGGCCCCCCGTCTCTTTGCGGGGTGTGCCGCCCCTCGGCTTCCCACTTTCACTGCTACCCGCGCTTCTGCTGCTGTGTCGGTTTCTGGGGACACTGCTGCCGTTTCTGCCGCAGACTGGCAGAAACGTGGCAAGAGTGGCAAGAAGGGCGGGAAGGGGGGAGGTGGAGGCGGTGGAGGCGGCGGTGGAGGTGGCGGTGGAGGTGGGAGCGGCGGTGGTGGCAGAGGCGGCGGCGGCGGCGGTGGTGCACCAGGGGGAGGGGGCCTTGGAGGAGGCACAAGACAGACAGGCCCACCCACAGGTGGTGGCCCGACCGGTGGGGGCGTTGCCCCCCAGCAGCAGCAGCCACAGCAGCACCAGCCACAGCAGGGACAGCAGCAGCAGCTGGGACAGCAGCAACAGCAGGCACCGCAGCAGTTCCAGCAGTGGGGGCCCCCGCTGCAGTGGGGTCCGCAGCAGCACTGGGGTCCCCCGCCGCAGTGGGGTCCGGGAGGCCCTGGGAGCACCGGCCGCAGCAGCAACTCTTCCAGCTGGGCCCCTCGCCCCCCTCGCCGTGACGCTGGCCCCTGCACCCACTGGTGCCTCACCGGGCCGGGCAGCCCCTGTCTCTGTGGTCGCGACGACCACTCTGCCGCGCGGTGCTTCCGCCGCCTCGACGACCTCTACCGGGCTCGTTGGGGCCCTCTGGCGGTCACGCCTCGCTGGTCTCGTCTGTTAGCACGTAAGATTGATGTATTTGATCTATCCATGGACGATGCGCGTCAGCATGCTTTGTATGTTGATGCTGACTATAGTGCTGATGGATCTGTGTGCTCGCGTGTTCGTAGTTTCGCTTGCTTGCCTCCTGCTAGTGTAGCCTTGTGCCTGTCTAGCTTAGGTGCTTGTGTTGCTGCTCTAGGTGCTTGTGTAGCGACTGGGTCAGGTGACCCTCCGGCTGAGGCCTCCCTGTCGTTCACGCTGGACTCGGGCGCGTCTCAGTGCTTCTTCCGCGACCACACGACCCTTACACCACTCCTCACACCTGTGTCGGTGGCTCTGGCTGATCCTACCTCTGGACCAGCCGTTGCGCGTGTTGGAGGTCGCGTGAGTTAGAAGCAAACGGTGGTGGGGCAATTGATATGCCCCCAACCCACCGAATGTGTTTCGGTGCTCACCGCTTG